GCGGGCTTTCTTGGTGTGGACGAGGGCGTAGTTCTCTTAGCCGATGGGAAACCTGCTATGTAGTGCCTTTGGATGCTGCCACGCGGGAGCCAAAAAGGAGCCCAAAACACTGGAAGGTCCCAACAAAACCAATGTTTTGGAGTCTCCAGGCCTGCGCTGCCCCGAGACTCTCCAGCATTGGTTTTATGGTTTTAGTGGGACCTTCCATGGTTTTAGGCTCCTATGGTCCTATAGACCCCTAAAACATTGGAACCTCTCACGATTTTGGAACTCTTCGGGCACGAAAGTGCAGAGAGGTTCCAATGTTTTGGGGATGTAGGGTCCCAACACATCCGGGGAGTGCCACAGTGCTAGAGTCTGCTAGAGGTCCGCTCCCAAAGAGCGAATGCAGATCAAGGCAGGAAAGGTTAAAGGCAGGAAAAGGGTATGTACATGGGGGGAGGGGGGGGGGGCACCATATGTATCTATATACAAATTCGTACTAAGTTTACATATCTGTCTATTTATCTATGTCTATGTCTATGTCTATGTCTATGTCTATGTCTATGTCTATGTCTATGTCTATGTCTATATCTATATCTATATCTATATCTATCTCTCTCTCTCTATATATATTGTAATGTGTGTGTTTGGGTATTCATGTATGTTTGTACGTAATGTAATGTAACGTAACGTAATGTAATGTAATGTATGCAATGTATGTAATGTATGTAATGTAAGCATGTATTGTCTGTTTGTCTGTCTGTGTGTCTGTCTGTCTGTCTGTCAGTCTGTCTGTCTGTCTGTCTGTCTGTCTGTCCGTCTGTCCGTCCGTCTGTCTGTCTGTCTGTCTGTCTGTCGGTCTGTCCGTCCGTCCGTCCGTCTCTACATACATACACGCACATACATAGATACATGCATACATACATACATACATATATATATATACATATACTCATAAATGCGTCATGCATACATAAGTACATACGTACATACGTACGTACATACATACACATACATCAGAAATGCATACATATGTAGATAGATATATACACTGTACACACATGCGAGTAGAGTATGTGATTGAAATCTGCTGAATGTGTACCTGCCTAGGTGGCGATAGTTACGGCGAGTGGTGGATGCCCGAGATTCGAAATTTGTTGAATGTGGTTAGCTTCGAAACCAGAGAGCCACTGTGAGTCCAGGCTTTGAGTATCTGTGGCTGGGCTAGCAGTAACGATCGAACATCTCCTCCAAGGCGCCGGATCACTTTGTGGACCAGGCTTCCACGACCAGTTGAGCAGGAAGGCACGAAGTCGGTGAGCATGAGTAAACCGAGAGTTTCTGCCGAGGACAGAGTATGCATGCGAGTCGGCATGAGGCACAGCATGGATACTCCACGTTCCGGCCCAAGAAAATTCCGTGGGCTTGATTGTACGACAATTTGTATACCCCATGTACAGCAGCGAGCTCGGCTCTGGGCTACGGTTTGTTGGGGCTCGCCGGGGGGAGCTAAAGTCGAGCGCACTCATCTTCCGAAGCTTGGGAGGTCGGTGTCAGCAACAGCAATCTTAGATTGTCTCAGATATCGGTTCTGGCGGCTGCAAACAGGTGGCCTGCGGGTTTGATGTTGCACCGGCGAGTTTCAGCAACACGGTCCTTGCGCAAAGCCTTTGGCACGTATGTCTCGGGGCATATCCAAGGTCTCCAGCCTGGCAATCTCGAATCTTTGGCACCTATTGCCGGCGGCTTGAGTATGCGCTCAATACTAGCAGTTTTCCAGACCAGGGCTTTGGCTGACTGCCGAGGCATGTGTTGACTCCAGCCCTGGCCGACAGAAGAGCATGCAAGGATCAGGCGAGCGAGTGCCATGCTTTCGCGAGATGAAGCGGTTTCCTGGCTGGTACCATGGCTCAGTGCACCAAAAGTTTGTCATAACTGTTGTTGCTTCGACCATCTCGAACTTGAAGTGAGTTTTTCCCGCAGACGTGCACGGAGCGAACAGCCTGCTTGTACTCGTTCGCTCATGCATGCAATGAGCTACTAGCATAGAAGATGCTCCCCATGAAGGAATGCGAGATATTGATCGATGGTCAGTGCCTTGTGAAGAGGAAAGTGTGCGAGTAAAGCAGTGAACTTAAAGTCTGGAGTTTGATAAGGTCTGATGATGGATCGGGAGTGGACCGAAGGGTTGCAGTGGCCTCCGGGGATCGGTCGACTGTGCGTGCATTGTGCTTGGCGTGCATCAATGAAGTATCGGCACCACTACCTATCGAAACAAAGCAGCTTGATCCGAAACTGCTTTTCTGCATGCTCAGGTTCTTTGTCCGTTGTATCCTTCAGGCATGTCGGTGGTAAGACTTGATGAGTTGTTAGCCTAGCCATAACGGCCGCTACTGCCACCTAGTACATTGAGGTGTTCATGCATTTGAGCTTTGGAGCTGTGTTCGCACTGAATTCAAGCGAATTTGGCTTATCGTCTTCCGAGAGCCATGGCAGAAGATGACGTGCCGCAGGGAGTCATTGCTACTGACTTGCAAAGAGGCTGTGTCGCTTGTGGCACTTCTTTGTGTGCAGGTTGGGGCGTTGGGGCCGGCGGGCTCAGGGGCCGCGGAGCGGGTTCCGGGGCGTTTTGGAGGTTCACGGGTGGGATTCCGAAGACATTTCTGAAGAGTCGAAAGACACCGGAGTTTCCTGCGAGAGAGGAATAGATAATGCGCAGGGGACTGGGGCTGGGGTGTTTGAGAGCAAGGATCATACCAGGCACAACAGCCTAGACAATTAGACAGTTGAGAAACTGGCGCAGACCGCTCGAAGCGGGACTAGATAAGTTGAGAAAGAGTTGCAAGCCGGCAGGACGAGAGAAGTTGAAACTGCGGAGTGGCACAGCAAACTCCGCCCATGGGAAGACTGAGGAGCGAACATTTGCAAAAGGGACACGGCACAGTGACAAGGGGGGAATGCAACCTGCTCAAAGTCAGGGCAATTGAGAAAGAAGCAATCAGTGAAACAATCCGCTCGAAAGAAAGGTGAGGAGTAGGAAGAAGCCGAGCAAACCCGGCCTGGACGTTCAGAACGGGCAGCACTCCGCCCGAAAGAGATTAGACTATTAGATAACTTGAGGCAGAAGGCGCAAACCGCTCGACAGGGACTAGAGACTTTGAGAGAAGAGGATCGAAAACACAGGACCGCCTAAGTTGAATCAATTTAGCAAACTGCGCAACCGAGAGTAGAAAACTTGGCAGCACGGAGTAAACCGATCGAACAGTACAGGAGAAGAGATGAGCAAACCGCTCGAAACGGAGTAGAGAATGTGGGGAAGAATACCAAACCACTAGAAAAGACCAGACACTTTGAGAAAGAGATGCGAACTGCCCGAGAAAAGACTAGAGAAGTGGAAGCTCAGCAGACGCCAGAGGAGCTGGAGACTGTAAAAAAGGTGGGCCATGGGATAAGAGTTGTTGACAAGCAGAGGCAAATCGCTTGAAAAGATGAAGAGGAGCAGACTTCTTGAAGCAGGGGTTGTGCAATCGGAGCAAATCGGCGGAACCGGATTCAGGAAGTTGAAAAAGGAGCAACCCACTCGAAAGGGGCCAGAGTTTGAGAATCAGTTGCAAACCACTCGGAAGGGTGAAGTTGTTGAGATGCTGGAGCAATCAGCTCCAGCGAGACTATAATGATGTTGAGCAAGACAAGTGCACTAAATGGATGAGAGAATTTGAGAAAGGAGCACGCTGCGCGAAAGCATGGAGAATTTGAGAAGGCGGGTACTAGCGGGACAGAGCAAAAAACGGATCAAAGGGATTAGAGAGATCAGAGCTCGAAAGGGACTCATCATTATTAGTTGACCTTTGAAAAATGCGCGTGATCAATGTGGCCTGCAGATTGTAGTTGATCATCCGCTTTATTTTCATCGGGTAATTAGTGATATGTCATTGGCACATTTTGTAGATTGTGATGTTCCTGGGCATAAGATTCGAAAAGCTCAGGTGTGCGTGCGGCTTCGGCCGATGTTCGTCAAGAGGCTTTGGTCAAGACAAAGACTGCGGAAGATCCTGTCGTGAATTCCAGCCAGACCTGCAACCTGATGATCAGGCCTGATGGCACTCCTGGGCGAGAAGCAACCTGCCAACGGGCTTCTTGCCGTGTACCGGACCAGTCGCTGTCCTGTCAGTTTTAACAGGAAACCCCCGGCATGCAAAGCAATTGAGGGAAACACAAGAATCTGGCAAAAATTCAGCGATGGTTTGGTAGAAGAAGAAGACGGACGTGCAGAGCGAGACGTGGGTTGTGGGCAGCTGTTTCTGCTCAGGTGGTTGAGATGGAAGGAGAGGCCGAAAACGGCTGTGGATGCGCTGTGACAAAGATCTACGATCCAAACGCATCCTGGCTGGCCCTGTTTCTGTGACACGAACTGGTTTGCCGGCGTAGCTACGTACGTTGAGGGGCGGTGCATGCAGAAAGCCACTTAGTGTGGTGCACCTTCAACTAATGCGCGCCGATCCGTATGCCGCAGCCCAGGACATGACGGCACCACCGAAATCCTATGCTTTCGATCGAAGCTGGTGGAGCTGTGATGGTGCCGTGGAGGATGAACATTGGCCTAGATTCCTGAGAGCCATATTCTGCTTCTTTGCATAAGGCATACGGGGTCGTGACTTCCACAAAGCGATCCCAAAAACTTGCTTTGGCAGGATCCAGAACGACCGGGCTTCAGCCCCTCGGCGGCAAAATGCACAGCTTTGCAATGCTTGTGTTCTTGGCATCGGCTTCTCCATCACAGCATGTCAAGTTGGGACAGCCAAGCTCTTGCAGTCACGCTTGGGCGACAACTGGTTTCAGCTTCGTCGCTGTAGTTCATGCCGGACTCGGAGTCCATTTGATGCTAAGGAATACCTGATGGCCCGAACTCCAAATATGCCACTTGTTTGCTTAACAGTCCTTCTACGATCAATGCCGGAACCTGTTGTTTCTTGACCTTGAAGCAACTCTGAAAAAGTGTTGCTGAGGTGGATCAGGATATGGTCTGGAATGATATTGGGGCGATGGTCATGAAAAATGCGCTGCGGGGCTACAACTGCACGGTGCTGCTTGGCAGAGTCTGACTTGTCGAGATGCGGGGGAGTACATTTTCAGAAATGCAATGCCAGTGCTGGAGCTTCATTTGTGCTTGGCTTTGCTCGAGGTTCGCCTATGGACAATCTGGCTGTGGCAAGTCCTATTCAGTGGTGGGTGATCCACCCAATCTGGGAATTATCCCGCGGGCAGTCCAGGCAGTGTATGAGGTTGTAGATGGGAACACGAACCCCGATGTCAGATACCACGATGCCTGTCTGAATTGGATTCCAGCCGTTGTCCCATGGGCCGAGTTCAAAAATTAGTTGTGAGGAACGGTTGAGCCGAGGTTGAGATTGCCATGCTGGAGGTTTACATGGACGAGGTGTATGACCTCTTGGAACCTCGGAAAAAGGACAGGCAGAAGTTGAATGTGTTCCACAACAAGGGCGAGGCCAGGCAAACCTTTGCCCGTTGTGCAGCGCGACCCCAACATCATGATGTTTCTTCTCGGTTAGGTCTTCATCTATGACCCGAAAGACCGCAAGAACATGGACAAGATTTGGAGAGCATGCAGCAACCATGAGAAGGCAGATAGGGTTTGCACCAGTCGCAGGCGGGCGTGACGGATGCGGACAGTCATTGTTGTTATGTCTGGAAGGCAGAATCATTTCGGAAGATGGGTGATGCAAATCGATCAATTCGAGCCTAAGCTGCTCCAGACAGTCCTGTAGGCATTTTCCATTGCACTCTGTTCGAATTTCATTTTCAGGAGCCACTGGTATGAATCCAGAGTCGTCTCGCGGGCATACGCTCTTCATTGTCCGATTCCGGAAGGAGGCTGTGTGCATGAATTCTCATCCGGTTTGCGTTGACGGAGTTTTTTCAGCTGGAGCCTGAGATTGCTGACAGGCCAAAAGAGGCGGCTGGGTGGAAGAATTCCGTTCAAAACTGTGCCTGGTGGATTTGGCCGGCAGTGAAAGAGCTCACGACACAGGCCGCCTTCAAGACGCACAGCCGCGAAGACGGTAAGTGTAAACCGGGGCCAGGTGGTGTTGCGTAAATGCAAGGGGTACGTTGTGTAATTCAGAAGGGAAGGATGTCGGGCTTCTTTTTGCCTGCCTGCTCCGTCAACATCCAGGCCAAAGGTGTAGCGGAGTGTAGTGGTTGTAGCTGAAGCCTGGATTTGCAGGCTGTATGTTGGGTTGTCAGACAGGTTTTTATAGAAGCGATGTCCCAAAGCATGCAGGCTTGACTGGCGTTGGCCTCGAAGAGGGCATTGCCATCAATCAGTCGTTGTCGGCTCTTGGACAATGCCTCTTGGTGAAGACTCGGCAGAAGTGTTGGTGCTTTTTGTCTTGATGTGGAAGCATTTGGCCGAAGTGCGCAGCCGAGGCCTGGTGCAGCTCTGCAAGGGTGAGCGGGCAGCTTGTCGGCAGCTTGTTCGAGACTAGTCGAAGATTGTCGTCACGGAGCCTGGAAGGTCAACTACTCGGACAAGCTCACGCGGCTTTTGTCCGAGAGCTTGGGTGGCAACGCTGTCACGGTACCGGCCTCTTTATGAGTAGACCATGCGCCGCGGTGCGCTGCCGTCCATGATGTTTGTGTTCAGGTGATGATTGCAGCCCTGTCTCCAGCTGACATAAACTACAATGACACGCTGTCTACGTGCTTTGGCTCTTCAGCCATCCTTGCCGTATCAAACAGCTCTGGCGCACAGTCTTTCCTTGAGGCTAGGAGCCGCAATTTTGGGATTGCTGGCTGTGTTTATCTAAGGCTTCGATTCGCTGACAATGCGAAGAAGATGCCAGTCAAGGTAACTACAAGTTTCTGACACTGCTGTAGAAAAGCGGTGGTGGCAAAATTTCTGCTTGAGCTGGCGACGCCCTTCCGCGTTGAAGGTCAAGAAGCAGCTGGACCCCACTGCTGAGCTCATTAAGCAGCTGCAGGAAGAGAATGCCAAGCTTCAGGTGCTTCATTCAGCCGTGATGGATGTTACTTGTAGTTACGTTTTTATGAAGCTTTGGAGCCATCGTCCCCGCTTTGAGCGGACCGGACCTAACAGCCTGGCCAGGCACAGCTTACATCGATGGGTAGCGAGGAGATTGAGAAAGAACGCCGCGAGTGGGAGGAGAAGCTTGCACCCAGGATGCGTTTTACCTCACAGTTGCAAGATGAGTGTACTTTGCAAAGTTATGTTCCACTTCTGGTACTAGGCTGCGGCAGACGCGAAGGCTGGGCAGAAGGAAGGAGTCTGCAGTTTGAAGCGGCTACCGCCCACCTTTCGATGGTTGTGGCACCGCTGCCTGCTGCCGTTGACATGTGCGGATCGTGTTGTGGATTCGTCTGCTGTAAACTCAATCTGCAAACCTGTTGCGAATCGCCGCCTGTGGAGGTTGCAGATTCGCAAAAGGCTCTTGAAGAGATGAAGGACCGCGGATGTGCTTGGATAAATTCCTTCCGCCGTGCCTAAATGTGTCTGACATGTCCTCCGGCCCTCTCCGGTGCTTTAATATGTCCCGCCGCGGCGACAGGCCAACGCCGAGTCTGACGTACGAGTCCGCCTTGCTCGCGCCCTCCCCTCGGGCACGAGATAGTAGTCGCTGTCCAGTGGCTGTCCACACGAAAAGCCTGAAAATGATGCTTTCTGTGCTTGCTGTACCAGGCCAAGACGGGTGCAGTGGATCTCAACCCCACCGTCGAAGAGCTCGAGGCACGAACCACAAAGTCCTCAAGATTCATTCGAAATCTTGGGAGCTTTCTCGGTCGCATCGAGATTTCATGCAGGCGAAAGTGCAAGAGCTCGAGTCGCAAAAGGGTGACAGTGATTCGAAGCTGGAGGCTCGATCGATGCCGCTGACGCTTGTTGTTGTGGGCCGCATCAGGTCATGCTTGTGATGTCGAGCCGGTGTAGATCATTCACAGAAGATGATCTCTAAGCCTAGGCAGCCGGGATGCAGTGCCACACAGTGCTCGCAGCTGCCCTGGCAAGGAGCTCAACGCAGAGATCGACCGCCTTCAGGTGCAATTCATGCGAGTGAAAGAGCCTGCGCCGTCCCAAGTGGTCGATTTCGCAACTGAGCGTCGCAGGCGAAGATACAGGAGCTCGGCGGCCCCGAGGCCTGACTGCGGTAGCCCCACTTCGGATCGCGCTGTGAACTTGGGCGATACTTCACCGACTGGATCAGACGGCGGCGATCTGAAAGGTTTCAAGACAGTCCAGTGTGGCCTTGGCAGGCAGCTGTGGCGGAGCAGGGGGAGCTGGTCGAGCTGCTGAAGACCCGCACCACCAACGAGGCCAACTGGGTTTGATTTGATTGAGTCTTATTTCTCATGTTCCTATGGCTATTGAATGTTGATGTCGGGGTGAATGCCGTGGTGAATCCTCGAATGACAGGGTAGCGAAAGAGACGAATTCGGTAAGGCACATACCTACATGGTACAGGCAGTATGCAGGCGATCGCACCAATCGTAATGTCCTACCCTGAGCAATCGTCGAGATAGCAGCCAGATGTTCCAGCAGCAGCAATGCCAACAGCTACGACAGTAGTTGGGATGATGCCTAGAACTGAGGAGGAACGAGATTGTCTTGATTCATTGTTGCCGACTGTCTTGAATCACTATTGTCATGGTTTGAATATGGGTAGTGTACCAGCAGCAGGGCAGGTGAAGAGATGGTCGTAGAAGCAGCCGGAGTAGCAGTAGCAGTAACAGTAGAAGTAGAAGTAGAAGTAGAAGTAGAAGTAGAAGTAGAAGTAGTAGTAGTAGTCGT